ATCCCTCATAACTGACTCTGCAGTTCCAGTCTTAGACTTGGCAGCTTGCAAAACACGCCAGGAGCATGTGCTTTCATGCCCAAATTCCAAAGAAGAGAATGGAAGAGAAGTGATTGCAGCATGGCCATCCTCCCCCCAGAGTGGGGAGTGATTTCTCAGTTTCCCTCTTACTCTGTCTCTGTCTCTGTCTGGCAAGCACACTATAGTAAAGGCTTTTTAAAATAAGATAATACTCAAAGTTGATGAGCATGCTTTGAAATAGGTATTTCCATTCCTACTGGCAAAATAGGCAAATTGGCACAACTTCTCTTTAAATCAATTTGCCAGTACAAATCAAAAGCCTCAAACATTTGTATCTGTTCTCTTAGTAATTATACTTCTGGAAATCTAGCCTAAGGAAATAATCCAAAGCATCTGCAAGCAATGCACACAGAGCGACGTTCATTGCTACGGTATTTTCATTGACAACAACCAGAAAAAGTGGAAAGAGCATTAAAAATATGTAACACTTTTAACAACATACAAATGTTTCTCTTATAATAATAAAGGTGAATTTAAAGTGGTATAAGATGTAATCATAATTAGGATTTTATATACACATATATATATAAAACTTACCAAATATTGAGATTTAGGCATGTGGATTTCAGTCTGAACCATAAGCTTATCCTATGACCTGGGAGACAGGGTTAGTGACCAGACGAAGGGAACAGTTTGCTCACAACCAACAGGGGTTATCCATTACAGAGTACAAATTGGGCTCAGCAGCTTTGAATGATGAGTATGATTTTGTCATGTAAAGTAGGGAGTGTGAGTCAAACTGGCAGGCTAACTATTTGGTTCATCTTCACCTGCCAACCACTAAAATTACTGCAGATGAATGAAGCCAAAAAAAGAGCAAGAGAAGAGTTTACAACAACACAGTTTTGGGATCTGGAAAACAGACGCAAAGAATTCCCCAGAAAGATAAGCAGATTCACACATTCTGGAAAGTGTCCAGAATCTCTGAAATTCCCCAGAAAGATAAGCAGATTCACACATTATGGAAAGTGTCCAGAATCTCTGAAAATGGTGGAGGGGGAGTAGGCTAGAAGTGAGAAAATGGGTAAGAAATCTCTAAAAATCAGGGGGAGCTCTATGGTTCCTCTTCCATCCCCCCACCCGACCTGCTTAACGCCATCCACTCCTCCTGTATCCCAGGAGAATCTGGAAATCTACACTGGAAAATTTATCCAGAGGGACTCTGAGCCCTGAGATATCAAACAGGGCAATGGGTGGGGGGCAGGGGGGGTCAGTCAACTGAACTCAATCAGTTAGCAGATTAACAGAGACTGAGACCCTCTCAGTCTCCTTCCCCTCACATAGCTTCCAGAAAGCGCATTGCTTTTACAATCTACAGCAGAAATTAGAGGCATTCCTTCTGAAGAAGTCTCTGCACAAGAAAAAATCCTGTAGATACTGACATTTGGTGCCCTCTCCCCAATAAAATAGCTTATTCTCCACCGGATTATTCTGTAACAAACAAGCCTCATCCCTCCTACCCTTGCTGTACACACACATACACACACTCTCCAATTAGTTTTTTATGACTGACTCTTCAATGTGAATGACTACTGAGAACCATCAAACATTCAGGAAAGCCTCTGGGCATGAAAAATGGAAACAAGACAAGCAGGACAAAAAGGAACTGAGAGGAAACTGAGGCAATGACAAACAGAAGAATTTCCAGAGCTGTGTCTAAGAGTCTCAAAGAGAAAGAGAAAATACTGTATCTCGAAACAAGAACAGGATATTATTGAAAAAATATCCAGAGTTATGGGATACTAAAAACACAACAGATTTTTTTAAAGCACTAAGTAATAGAATTAGAAGGCAATGTTTAAAAAAAAAAAAAAACTCAATAAGCAGAAAGAAGAGAAGTTAGATGGAAAATTAAATGGAATAAAATAAAATTTATCAGAACCAAAGAACATGAGTTTCCATATTGAAAGTTTTCCTACTACCCAACCCAACGGATAGAAATGCCTATGTCAACGTGCAGTATGTGGTATTTCAACCTGCTGAAGAGACAGAAAAGAACAGAATAGCTTCTGGGAAGGATAGTGGGAAATAGCATAGTAACAACGGATCTCAAATTAAAATGACATTAGATATCTCAAAATTAACACCAAAACCAAAAAAAAAGAAAAAAGAAAAAGAAGGAATAAAAAAAATAAACAGGGAACTAATATCTTCAAATGCTGAAGGAAAATTATTTCCAATCTAGATTCTATACCTCACAAAGTTGTCAGTCAAGACTGAGGACATACTGCAGATCTTTTCAGAAATGAAAGTTCTCAAAAAAAATTTAACCCCTATGAATCTTTTCTTAGTGAACTACTGAAGGGCTGGGTTTCCCAAAAGGGAAAAGAAAAAAACAAAAGAGAGGGAAATGTGGATCCAGAAAATAAAAGATGCAACGCACATTAAAAAAAAATAATAATAAATAAAAAGAGAGAGAGATGCATGAGATAATGTTGAAGGGAGATTCCAGTATGAAAGTTGGGCAGCAGACCCAGAGAACACCCAGAACAGTCTCAGTCTCTCTTCCTCTCTCTCTCTCTCTCTCTCTCATCTGTAAAAAGCAAGGGGTCTCAGTGACAGCAAAAGACAGGGAGAGTGAACCCACTGGGGGAATGGCCACGCCGTAATCCCTTCTCCAGTCTCCCCTTGGGATTCAGGACATGTAGACACACCACACACCAGGTGTAATTTTCAAGATGCCAGATCCAGGACTCAAACTGCACAGTTGGCCATATGTAATCCAACTTCCTTAACCAACTGGCCTACCCTATAGCAAATAACAAACATTTCAAAAAAAAAAAAAAAAAAAAAAGAACTAAAGCCGATATGACCCATCCTGGTGGTATAGACAGTAGTGAACTGACTTCAGTGCTGGAAGCCACATGATTGACGATGGGTTCAGATCCCTTAATCAACCTGAAACATTCCAGGCACATGCACATGTGCCCAAAATTTTGAGAAACTGGAGAGCTGAGAAAAGGGATTGCAACATGAGCAGACACTATTGGGACACTTCTCACTCTCTCTTTATCTCTCTCTCTTTCTCTCTCTCTCTCATGCACTCTCATGAATAAAATAAACAATTTTTTTTTTCAAGAAGAAAGAAAGGGGAACCAGCAGTTAGCGTAATGGCTATGTCGCTGGACTCCCACGTAGTCGACCGCGGTTCGCGTCCCAGACCCGGTGGCTTAAAACTCATGCCGGGCGCGTGTGCATGCGTGCCCAGGATCCCGAGAGGAGAATGGAGGAGAAGGGATTGCGGCGTGACCATCCCCCCTGGGGGGTGATTTCTCGCTTTCTGTCTCTATGTCTCTCTCTGTCTGTCTGGCGAGCACACGCGCCCTATAGCAAAAACCTCTCCAAAACAAAACAAAACAAAAAAGAAGAAAGAAAGTAAAGAAAATTAAAGCCAGGGCCATCTCCCCCAGCAGCAACACACTGCACAAGTGATACCACGTATGGACGATCGTGGGTTTGGTTCCCAAGGTGGCCTTTACACACTGGGCACATACCCATGATAGTAGCTGTATGGGAGGAATGGGGGCCAGGAATAATGAAGTGAGACCCTATTAAGGGTGTTATCTCTCTGTCTCTTGCTCTCTTATCTCTTAATAAATACACTTAAAAATAAAACTAAACTAAAACCAAAAAATCAAGAAGTGACAGTACAAACCTGTAATGTCTATTTGCTTAGAAATTAGGAGGCAAATATTGAAAAGAACAGTAAGAGTCAAAAATGGGAGGTGGGAGTAAAAGAATAGGATTCATCCTAGGGTGACTCTTTTTCATGAAAAATTCTTACCATATTATACATATATAACTTTGGCTTTTTAACTTAAATGTGTTTAAAATGGAAGGTATTCAGGAAGAAGGACCAGCAACTGAGAGGTGTGGGCCATGCAAGTCAGATCAAGCTGACTCACAGGTGCAAGGTGAGGAGGAACAGGAATATACCACAGCGGAGTTGAGACTGAAGGGGTCGAGTAGTAGAGGGGAAAGGGAACTACTACAGGTTATCAAGCAAGGGAGTCCTGATCACATCCTTGTTCTTCACCTTGACCACATTCTTACATAAAGATCATTGGGTAGAAATTGGAAGTAGAAGAGATGGATGGCAAGGAGACCCCGTTAGTAGGCCATGCTCAATTCTAGGGGGAAAGGAGGAAGGTCGGAATGTTGTGGTGGCTGTGAGGATGAAGAGGAGAGCACGAATGGCAGGTATTTTCTAGGGGACTCATAAAACCACAATTCACCAGCTGAGGGGAATGAGAAAGAGGAAGATGATGGGGATGATGAGAAGGAACAGGTTGGGAGAAGAAAGATTTTGGTTCGGACCATGGACACCATCCCCGAGGCAGAAGGTTCTCCCTTCTATTCCCCAACATGAAAGTCATTGTGTGCAGTGCAGGGAGTCACGGGATACAGTTAAGAACTAAAGCGGTGGAGTCTTTGGGTTAAAGTAATCCAAAAGATGGAGCAATATTAAAAGAAAGGCACAGTCTTTGTAGCCAGACAGACCTGAGTTTGAGCTCCTGCCATGAATGGCTTTATGCAAGTGATGTAACCTCCCTAAAGTCCAGGAGCTATCAATTCCAAAATGGGCTGAGGACACCCACCTCACAGGGTGGCTCAGAGAGTGCAACAGAAGGACCTCTGCAGACGCACGTGGTGCGTCTGCCAACACATGGGGATGCTCCCCCTTCCTGTGTCCCACCTCCCACTCCCATGCTGCCTTTGGAGGTCTTCTAGAAAGATCCTTCAAGCTCTTCCTAGATTTTTTTTCTGTTTCCTCAAATATCTCTCAGGCTGCGGGACCCCAGGAGGGTTTCTGGAAGGCACCTCCAACTCCCCTCCCATCAGTCCAAGAATGGAGATCACACGGATTTGCATCAACCAGAAAGTCAGCTTTATTAGCCCAACACCAGCAGAGAGGGAGGGGAGACAGCTGGGAACTGCGCTGGGAGAACAGGGTCCTGACCCAGGCCTTCAGGAAGAGAGGCCGGCGGATGGGCAGGAGGCTTTGGTCAAAGCATCTTAGTGCTTGGAGCTCTGACTCTGGCTCTGGCTGAAGGAGCTCTGTTCCTTGAGGATGGGCCGGGTCTGGCGGCCAGTAGATGATGAAGAGGAAGACGAATAGGAAACTGTGGCAAAGAAGAGTGGAGGTGAGAAGGGCTCCTGTTGCTAAGCAGGATCCAGGGCAGGAAAAGGGAGGGCTGGGTGCTCTGGGGAGAAGGCCCTGACCCCACCCTATAGAAACAGGCAGAGGGGCTGCAGTGCTCAGAGCCTTGGGAGACTTACCATCGTGGGAAGAATAGGACTGGCCAGATGTGTGCTGGGAGGAGGAGAGGCTGTGGGGAGAACGGGAAGAGTGGTTAGCTGTGCTGGGAGCAGCAGGCAGGGAGGTGGAAGGGTCTAAGACAGGACTGGGGGCCTGGCACTCACTGGGCGTCCTCGCCCTCCAGCAGGCGGCGGTAGGTGGCGATCTCCTGCTCCAGGCGTGTCTTCACGTCCAGCAGGATCTTGTACTCCTGGCTCTGCTGCTCCATCTCGCAGCGCAGCTGTGCCAGCTGCTCCTCAACGCTGCTGATCATCCCCTGAATCTGAGCCAGCTGCATGCAGTAGCGGCCTTTGGTCTCCTCCAGGCTGTTCTCCAGGGATGCTTTCTGCAAGTGGGAGAGAGGGGAAAAGAGTCAACAGAGAAGGTCACTCCTGTTCCTCCAGGTCTCTGCCATGGGTTTCAACCCCAGCTACAGCACTGATCGGCCACATAATATGGAGAAAAGCCAATCCTGCATTCCGGGCTTTCATCTCTCCATCTATATAATGGGTATCAAGATCCCTTGGGTCCCACTCTAGGGGAAAAAGGATGGAGCTGGATTGTGACCGTTTTTGAGGGGGTAGTGACCAGAACTGGTGACTTGGTTGCAGCTGGGCAGGGTCCTCCATACCATGCTGAGCTGGGACTGCAGCTCGATCTCCAGGCCCTGGAACACCCTCCGGAGCTCAGACACCTCACTGCGGCCGCTCTGTATCAGCTCACTGTTAGACGCCACTTCTTTGTTCAGCTCCTCAGTCTAAGACAAGAAAGGGGGGGCAGAAAGAGAGTTCAAAGTGCTCCAGAGGCATCCCTGGTTGGGAAGTTCTGCAGGAGGGCTGGGGATGCAAGTCCCACCTTGCTCAGGAACCAGGCCTCGGCATCTCTGCGGTTCTTCTCTGCCATCTGCTCATACTGGTCACGCATCTCATTCAGGATGCGGCTCAGGTCCACACCAGGGGCTGCGTCCATCTCCACACTGACATCCCCACCAGTCTGGCCCCGCATGGCAAGCATCTCCTAGGAAGGGATAGCAGGGTGGTCAGCTCAGCCAATCCCTCTCCTGGCCCTAGGAGGATCTGGCAACACCATCAAACCAGCTTCCCACCCCCAAAGCCAGCAGCACCCTCACCTCCTCGTGGTTCTTCTTCAGGTAGGCCAGCTCCTCATTCAGGCTCTCGATCTGCATCTGCAGGTCAGTCCTGGCCAGGGTCAGCTCGTCCAGCACCCTGCGCAGGCCGTTGATGTCGGCCTCCACGCTCTGGCGCATGGCCAGCTCATGCTCATACCTGGCAGGACAGAAGTCAGAGCCTCAGGCTCCTGCCCAGAGCTGCTGAAGCTCTCAGTCTGCTGACCTCCTGGATGGACAGCCCACTGCTTGCTCCCTGCCCTCTGCCCTCTGCCCTCTGCCCTCCGCCACATGCTGCTCACTTGGTCCTGAAGTCATCGGCCGCCAGCCTGGCATTGTCAATCTGCAGGATGGGCTGTGCATTCTCAATGGTGGCTGTGATGATCTAGAATGGGACGGGGCGGCAGACTTGGTCAGCCAAGGAAACTGCTGTTCAAGGGTGAAGGGCAGAGAGGGGGCAAAGTAGATCCCCAAACCTGGGGGCAGCCTGGCTGGCAGGTCAGGCCCCCACTCCCTAGCTAGGCTGGGATGCCTTCTCCACCCAGCTCAGAGTAAGTACAGATGTCCACAGTTGCCCACTGATGGAGATGCCCCAATCCTGTGCCAAGTCTGAGAGCTGAGCAAGCCATGCAAACAGCCCTTGCAGGAAATAAAAGGTTCAAGGTTCTAGCCCCAGCCTGAGCTAGGGAGATTCTGAAAAGCGACCCACTGCCACCACTTCTCTGAGTAACCCTGACCATTCTCCCCAAGACACTTTTATCTTCCTGTTCTAAAGTGGAATGAACAAAAAGAGATTTCCTAAGGGCCACTGCAGCCCTGGCTCCCCTCAAGCCTCCATCCACCAGAGCCACCCACCTTGCTCTTCAGATCCTCAATGGTCCTGAAGTAGGGGCTGTAGTCTTTGACCTCAGTGGGCCGCTGCCTCTGGTACCAGTCACGGATCTTCACCTCCAGGTCAGCGTTGGCCTCCTCCAAGGCACGCACCTTGTCCAGGTAGGAGGCCAGGCGGTCATTGAGGTTCTGCATGGTGATCTTCTCATTTCCGGAGAGCAAGCCATCACCACCACCAAAGCCAGCGCCAAAGCCAGCACCAAAGCCACCACCGAATCCACCACCGAAGCCGCCACCATATCCTCCACCAAAGCCACTACCTAGGGCCCCACCAAAGCTGCTGCTGCTGCTGAAGCCACCACCATAGCCGCCCCCCAGCCCACAGGCTCCCCCTGAGGAGAAGCGGGAGGAGGAGACCGACAGGCCCCCATAGGTGCTAGGAGCCCGGCAGGATCCTCCGGCCAGGACGGAGGAGATGCGGCTGGGGGCGGCCCCCGATGCCGCAGGAGCCCTTCATGGAGCTGGAGGAGGTGAACTGGCGGCTGCAGGTGGTCATGATCTGAGGAGAGTGAGTGAGCGAGCTGGCAGAGAAGTGAGAGGTGCTCAGGGAGGCTGAGAGAAGATGCTGTGGCGGCCTCTGCCCGGGAACCTTTATATGCACCTGGGAAGGCTGGGCCCTCCCAACTGCTGACTCCGGGCTCTCCTCTGGATTTCATCACTCCGGGCCGTCTAGCACCCTACTCTGGATTATTCAGCCCGGGGTCGACTCACTTGACTATGCTGGCTCGACGTTCCCACCCAATTCTGGGGGTGTGGGACCGAGAGAAATGCACACAAATGTGAGCCGACATGACTCAGGCTGGGCGGCCAGGAACCCAGCTCCTGTTCCTGGAGCCTGAGGGCCAGCGGGGCCCTGGTGCAAGCAGCTTTGCGGCAGCCGCGTCCCCAGGCAGTGAGTCAGCCGTCAGGAGGACTCCCTGCCCCATGGTGACAGCCTTGGCTAAAAGAGACCTCAGCACGCCATCCAGAGCTGTCTTGGAATCCTGGGCAGGAGCCAGATTCACACCTTTGCTCGTCTGTCCTCGCTTGCTGTGTAACCTGAGGCCCCTCACCTCCCCTCTCTGGGCCTGGACTGGCTGATTGCTGGATTCTTTCTAGTTCTAAAAATCCTACCACTCTCTTTTCCTTGTTGAGTCTCATCTCGGTTCCAGGGGCTATCTCTGAGCCCCGGGGCTTCCAGGAGTGACATGTGCCCTGTTGGGCCAGACGGGTGGCAGCTCTACCCTCTATGAGCCACATGGCACAAGCAGTCCCGGCCATCTGCCCCGCTCAGGCACACGCTACGTGGTTCTGTGAGGTGGGGGGGGGGGCATCACTCCTCCCACTAGTCCACAGCTGGAGGGGCAGAGCTGGGACGCAGGGAGGGAAAGTGTGCTTCCCAAGACCCTGGAGCTGAGGTTTGAACTCTGTCTGTCTGCTTCCCCCCATCCTGAGTCACTCTCTGCACATCTCTAATTTATATCATCTTTTTGATCCTTGGATTAACCCTGTAGAGTGAGGAGGAGAGAAGAACCAGAGAGAGGCAGTGATTTGCCCAAGGTCACTGGGCTTTAAGCCACAGAGCTGGGACAGAACCTGGAGCCCCAACCTTCTCTGGGCTCCCATAATGCTTTGCAGGCATAGGCCAAGTCCATCTGATTCTCACTCATGTCAGGGGAGGTAGGCTTTACACACAGAGGGCAGAACTTAGCCTGAGAGCCTGACCCAGTAGTGAGGGCTGGAGGGTGGACTTGGGACCTGTGTGCAAAGGTAGAGGCCTCCTTGGGGGGCTGTGGGGGTGACCAGGCTGCTGGACTCTGCCTTTTCCCTTTAATGCCTCTGTTAAGGTGAGAAGAGTCTAGAGAGGGCTGGCCTCCACCTGAGCTCTGCTGGGGTGGGAAATTCTCTGTCTCAGCAACCCAAGGCTTTGTGACTGCCACGTCTCATGCCGTCACACAGCCTGAGGTCTGAGCAGAGCTGGTGCACACGCCTTCAGGGCCAGACCTGGGGGAGGTAACCTGGTACTCCCCACCCTCTCTCCCAATCAAGGGCACCACCTATAGATTGTGGAGCAAGGGAGTCCCTGTCCTGCCATCTTGGGTCAAAGAGGACTCCAGACTCCTGGACAAAAACCTCATTCATTATCAGGGCCAGCCAGTGGCTTGGTGGTTAATGAAGCCAGATCTCACATGACCAACACTACGATTCAAGTCTTGGATCTAGTGGCTTGAAAAATGCACCCAACCTGTGTGCATGTGTGCCCCAAATCCCAAGAGAATGGAGGAGAAGGGATGGTGGCATGGCCATCCCCCCTTAAGCAGTGACGGATAATTTCTCATTTTTCCTCTCTCTCACTATCTTTCCAGTGAGTGCATGTACCCTATAGCAAAAACTAAAAAATAAAAGTTAAAAAAAAAAATTCATGAAAACAAAAACCCCAGTATTCAGGTGCCAGTATCCATTGAGTTCGACCACCTTCATTGGAAATGGCTTTCAAAGTCGCCAAAGGATACCAAGCCCAACCAAAGAAAATGGCAGGCTTGCCCAAGGTCAAACAGCGTGGAAGTGAAAGAAGCAGAGCTTCGAACGCTGCGCCAGCTCGCAAGCTAAGGCTCACATCGACTCCCGCAGCGCAGTCTCTGGGAACTGTTCAACACGTGCACATGCGTGCACACACATGCCTCCTTTCCATCTGGGTCACTGCCCACTCCCCGTCCCCTATCCCTGGAGGAGTCAGATGGGTAGTCGGGTGGGATTACACACAGACCCAGCACTGCAAGTCTGGGGTCTGCATGGGCTGAGGAGCTGTAGAAGCTGCCATTGACCCATCAAACCTCTCAGTCAACACCTTAGATTATGCCCCCACCGTGTACCAGAGCTCAGGGGCTGGGAAAGGGAAGGAGAGGATAACATAATCCCTGACCTTAGAAGAATTTATCATCTGACCCCAGAGAGAAAATTAAGACCAGGAAATACAGCATCTTATGGCAGGAAGCCCTCGGGTACTTAGCCAGCCCTCCACATGCCACTGCAGGGAGCAACCGGGGTAAGCTAAAGGAGGGGGCTGTCCTAGCTCCAACCCGCTGAGGTCCCCTTCAGCCGGTCCTAGCAGAAGGAGACTCTAGATGGGCCACAGAGTCTCTGAGCTGGCAGAGAAAGAGCAGGAGCTATTTCTTCCAGGCCAGCGACACATACCCATCCCTTGATTGCCAAGAGTCAGGACCACTAAGCCTGGTGGGCATGGAGCTGGCATCTCTCCAGGCAGTGGATTCCTGCCCTGACACTGCCTCCTTCCTCCTTCCTCTGCCCCGCCCATCTCAGATATGAGGTCATGTCACACCTGAGTTTCCCGGCAAACACCATTGGCCAGTGCCACGCCCCAACTTGCAGTATCCTCAAGCCTGACTGGTCATCTGCATCTGTATGCAGATTCCCAGCCCCTGCTCCAGTCCCTGCAACAGCAGCGCCCAGGACAAGCCTGGTCATGGGCTGTTTCACAAGCTCCCCAGGGGATTCCCAGGCTGGGAATGCAGGAGGCAGCCCAGGGTGCTGGGATGGGGGGAGCACAGGAAGGCTGAGGAGGGAGAAGGGCTGCTCAAGGCCCCTAAGCTCTGGCAGACAGGCTGGCGCCACAGGCTTCAGGTCAGAAACAAGAAAGAAAAGAGTTCCGCTGAGCCAGGACAGCAGCCCCGAGTCAGGGCAAGCCAGGCATGACCTCTGAACCTTGGTTTCCTTCTCTGGGAAGTGGGAATAGCAGCACTGTCTCACAAGCACCTTAGAGGAATAGAGCTGACATAAATAAGCACTCTGGCACAGCCCCTACATCTGTCCAGCAGGTGTTACAGAGTACCTACTACGTGCAGGTGCTGCACTGCACACTCAGAACAAGACGGAGAAACCCTGGAAACATAGTCTGGTGAGGGGAGAGGGCGGTAAAGACAGTCCCCACCCTGTGTTTGGGCCTTGGTGGGGTACAAGGCCTGCAGGGAAATGGGCTAGGCAAATGTCCTGGTCAGGCTCTGGCCCTGTGACTGGTCCGGGATCAGGGCGATGGTGAGTGCCAGACCCGCCCTAGGGGGTCCTCTCCCCTCCCACATGTTTGATGCCCCTTCTCAGGACAGGGCTGTCAGAGCCCCTCACTCTGCACGTATGAGGAGCCCCCAGGGAGCCCACTGCCTGTCAAGTTCAGTTACAGCCTCTGCTCTGTGTCTGTGGCACACTTCATGTGCCTGGCCAAAGTCCCCCTGTTCTCCTCAACTTCCTGAGCCTGGGTGGCACAAGAGACCCACGTGGCATAAAGGCTGAAGGAGTGCTATCAGCCATGCCTTGTGTCCTGCCTGTCACCCCTAGACTGAGGGCTCCCTCAGGTCCCCTAGGGGCAGGCACTGTGTCCCTGGGCTTGGTGCAGACCCAGGCACAGATAATGTGTCACCTACCACATCCCGATCCCTGCAAGGAATGCTTCCAGGTCAGCCCTTGCCAGAATGTCAGGGTGGAGGATGCATAGAGGCTGCTAGGCACAGGTCTGGGTCGGGATCCCGTGAGTGTCGCAGACCAGCAGCTTCTGCCTGGCTAACAGCAGGGGAGAAACATGTGCAGTGGGCAGGGTAGGTGTGGGGGAACCGTGAGTCCCTCCGTGGAGCCCACAGCTGGGTCCCCCCATCCAGCCACAGGCACACATGCCCTGCAACGGACAAGCTGCCAACATTCAGCACGCCATCACCTGGGACCTCCTCCAACACAGCAGCCACTGCCTCGACTGGCTGGGCTCTCTGGGCACACTGGGGGCTCTTCACGATGGCCTCCTGAGCTACCCACCCACTCCCTTGGCATGGAGGGACTTCTGCCCAGCAGAGGAGCATGGCGCCGCTCTCCTGCACGCTGATCCCTCCTCACTCAACCATCAGTACTAGTGGCCCCTGGAGTCTACACAGGGAAGAGAGAGCCCTGCGTGAGCCCGGGACAGGGCAGGAGGCAGCGATTCCTCTTCCCAGTGCAGACAGGAGGTCCCTCCCCTTCTGCACCCTGCCCCACCCCTGGCATGCCCAGCTCTAGGACCAGAGCTGAGTCACTGTTCCTCGGAGCCTCAGTGTCCTCGTCCACACAATGGGGCACCTCTCCCCAGACCCTCCCTGCTTCCTGAGACTGCCATTCAGATAAATTAGATCATTCTTTGGATGATCCATCCAGGCCAGGGCTGGTTCTTCTGGTTGTGGCCGGATAGGGTGGGAGCTGGTGGGAACAGCGGCTCCTGCCCTTCATTCACACCGGATTTGCTGTAGGCAGTGGAGGGCCACCAGCCTCTGCTGGCACGGACCTGCAGTTGCCCGAGTCCTGCAGCTGCCACTGTGGGCCAGCCCAGCTCCCCAGTTCTGGGCAACCAGGCTTTGACTCACGGACAGACCATCTCCATCCATCCAGGAGAGTCAGTTCCAAAGGGCCATTAGCTATGGCTTCTCCCACTCCTCCTTTTACAATGCAGCTTCTAAGGCCAAAGAGGGTCGTCGACCCAGGGTTCGTGTCTCTGCCACTGACCCTACCTCCACACACGTGCTCATCCCTGGCCTCTGCTAGCCCCAGGCCCCCTCACCATGCTGGGCCTCTGGGGGCTCAGGAGGCTCCTGTCCCCTCTCCACCTGGACTCCCCCGCTCAGCCTCTAGGCATCAGCAG